GCATCTTTCCAGAAATCCCTAATAAAGCCATCTTCTTTTTCAAAGTTTGGGTTTCTCTTCCACATAAATTGTTGGAATCCTGTCAGCTCTTTTGAGTGAATTGCAGAGGAAAGAGCACCATGGAGAAAATCAATGGGCAACTGTCTTTGCAACAGAATGGAGGTAAATTCCATCTGGGCTGTCATGATCCAAACTTTGGCTTTTCTTTGCTTTGGAATATCATCAGAATCTAAAACATAAATCATTAGTCTCAAAGTCACTATGCTTGTAATTTCCGCATTCAAGATCACTGCAACGACTGTACTCCCCATGATCACTTTGTATAATTTATCTGCCTCCTCCACCATTTCAGCAGCTTCATTACCATATGTCATTTGGGGGATACATTCTATAAAGTCAAAGCAGATTCCTCTCTCTGTAAACATGGAAAGGCTCTTTTGAACGAACCTCTCTTTATCCTCCTGATACAGAGAAATCAACCCCACCCAGGTCCATCCAAAATGCAATAGTAAGTGTAGTATTCCTTTAAGCTGGTGCATCTCATCTGGGAACATCCATTTGACAAACAGTGCTGCTCTTTCATTATTCACCAGTGGAGCTGATCCATATGTAATCTAAATAGGGAGAAAAAATAGAAGAATAGAGGCTAAAAGGGATCTGTCCAAAAAAAAAAAAAAAGTCAAAATGTATGCTTGCTTATTGGCACCCTTGCTTAATTTTTGAAGACATTCCCCAAGCCTTACAGGAAGCCAACCTTCTGGTTTCGGTAGAAAGGGCATAAGACCCTTCCTTATCAGTTTAACAACTTGGCCTCAGGAAGTTTCATACTGTGTTAAAGAACAGCAGTGGTGATCATTTCCATTGCAGATCATGAATTGGTTGTATTCTTGCCAAATGTTGTGGGATACGTCTGAGAAGAGTTATGAGGACTCAACATCTAGTTTCATACTGTGTTAAAGAACAGCAGTGGTGATCATTTCCATTGCAGATCATGAATTGGTTGTATTCTTGCCAAATGTTGTGGGATACGTCTGAGAAGAGTTATGAGGACTCAACATCTAGTTTCATACTGTGTTAAAGAACAGCAGTGGTGATCATTTCCATTGCAGATCATGAATTGGTTGTATTCTTGCCAAATGTTGTGGGATACGTCTGAGAAGAGTTATGAGGACTCAACATCTGAATGTAATAAATAGTACATGAACTTCCCATCTCGCTCCATTTTTGTTCTCACCTGAGGAAACTTGTAATTGTACAGAGTGGTTGCCATGTTGAGGCAGGTCTTAGTACGAGGTCCTCCAATGACAACTATTGTATTGGTCTGGTCATTACACTTGTAGTTGGGGATAAATTTATCTTTTGTAGATAGAAATTCCAGTGCTAAAAGGTAAGTTGTAATTTCCTCAATATAATCAGTAGCAATGTGGAAACCAAGGCTAACATTAGGTAAAATCTCAGAATGTTCGTTGATCTCCTTTATAGCAAATGCCAGAGCCAAAGTGTGTTGGTAATTATGAGTGAGAAACCTTCAGTGAGAGTTATAAACTATATCAATATATTTCTGCTTCAGAATCAGACAGTTGCTATTTTTAATTATTACATATATTCATATCACCGGAAAAGTTACTTCTTATTGTTTACTCTGGACACTTGAAATTCTGGTCTTTAGCAAACAATAGCCCTAGATTATATGGATTGGGAAGCACTGATGTGGGGGTGGGGATAGCTAACATTGAGCTGAGACAGCATTTGTAGCCTGATCTTTTCTCTCTTTAAGATTCTTCTTTTAGAAAACTGTCAAATTCATGGTGAGATGTCTCTTCCAGGATTCATTTGGATGGTTGCAATAACATTCCAATTCAGAGTGAATGAAAGTAGGAGGATTTATATGATTTCAATCTTATGGACATAACATTCTACAATTAACTTGGCATTTGGGCTTTCTATTCTTTAAAAATGATTATTCAGTTTTATTGTTCCACCATAGACTGCTTCATTTCCTGGTGAGGTGAAAGGAGAAAATTCAGAAAGTACTAGGATACGTGTAGATTATTTTCAGGACAACCACATAGCCTAGATTAGTCATGTTTTCCTCCTCATGAAACAAAGGACTGTGAACATTCCTGAGGAAAAATATGCTATATAGTGTTATGATTAAAAACAAGAATACTTGCCTCATTTGAGACTGCAGTATTAGGGGAGACTAAGTTTCTCTGAGTGTAGAATTTAGACATGGCTAAAGGCCTTTGCAATCAGTAATATAGTAGTGTAACAATTTTACATTTGATCAGAAAGAAAGAAGAAGAAGGAAGGAAGGAAGGAAGGAAGGAAGGAAGGAAGGAAGGAAGGAAGGAAGGAAGGAAGGAAGGAAG